TGTAGTATCAGGTGAGGGGAGACCAAAAGCTTTCTAATCACCAGTGTTCGACAAAAATATACATGTTGCAGAGATGTTTTAATTACAAAACTCCAGGATTACTTACAATTAAAAAAATACACATTAGGGTAAAAATGATCAGTTATGGTAAACATATTTGGGATGTCAAGTTACACTAAACCTCTTTTATACTACAATTCAAGCAAAAATAAAAGGGTCTGGCTACAATGAAGGGACGAATTCAATACAGACAGTTACCTAGGACAAAATAATGTAATATAAAAGAATAAACATTTATAATGTAGCAGAAAGCTATCTCCTACACTACAGTTAAGCCAAACAAGCATGTTGCCAGTGCTGTCCACAATTGTCATTAAATAAGATTTTTGAAGGCAAATTTTATCAATAGTAAGTTGAACCATACACATTACAGCATTTTCCTACAAGTGCCTCAGAACTGGCTGAAGAGATTCAAACCCGAACAGAGAACATACTTACTCTATCTTATGTGCTGACAGTCTGAGCAAAGTAGTACTCAAGAATTCAGATGCACAAAGAGAAAGGAGATAAGCAGCCTCCAGTTAAAATGTAATACCCAGTATGTCCCAATATTACCACCCCCTTGACGACACTGTGCAGCTAGCCAATGAAGGGGAAAGTTTGCCATTCCAGCTGGGAAGAGGGAACAGAAATATGAATACTAATGGCCTAGGAGTGAGGAGCACAAAATTCGCAGAACAGAAGTCCACCCTGTTGTTTCTAGACATGCAAAGTAAATTCTGTCCCATCCCAGGTATTTTTTGCTGTGCATAAAAATGAGGCTGCACATAGTCCTGTGCATATCAACAGTATGAAAGAATAAAGTGCATGATGCACATTCACACTCCATTAAGCCTACTCCTTAAAAATATTAGAAGGACAAGCTTGAAGGTCCAGTGACGCTGTTACCAGCTAAAGTAACCCACCATGCTGGCAACTCAGTCACATTATCACTTCCTATTTTCCCCAAAAGCAATGTATTCTAATACTTCTATTTATTCTAGTATAGAAATGTATACTGTCAGCTGAAATAAAATTTGTTAATATACAGCAGGAAGTTTTACACAAAAGCAGGCAACGTGTTCAAGTAAAAATTAACCATTTTATAACAAAATGTGAGTAAAAAATAAGTTCCAGCCCATTTGTTTTGAAACTCAATATTGTTTATGCATGGTACAAGTGATATCCTAGCAACTTTTACTTAGGGATGTAGCTTGACAAGAACTTCTGGTGGCAATCCCAGTTTAGGAGCCTCAAATCTAACAGTTGCAGACTTTGTTTTTCACATCGACATAAAAAGATGTCATGTAGGCCCTCTGCTACCCAGCAGTATCTTGGATTAGAAATGAAAGTTCCCAGAGGCAACATTTATTTTTGTTAGTAATCCAAAAGGCCAAAAGCCATTCATAAGGTAGGTATTTCTTCTGTGAGGATTATCATGCACTCAATTTTTTGGAAGCAACATGTAAAATCCTTAAACTCCAAAAAGATTCCAAAACAAGGTATGCAATTACCTTAAGCAACCATTGTCTGTTATTGTAAAGATGGAAGATACGTTTGTTTAAAAGATGTTTTGAAATAAAGACAGGTGGCATTTCAGGTAAGGGTGTATTACTAGATATAGTCCTTATAGAAAATAAGAACAGGAAAGCAGAAATAAGCTAATCACTCCAAGCATCCAAGAAGAGACACAAGGATAGAGTGAAGGCAAGTCAATTTCCAGAGCCTATCCCCTGAAGTGGCCAGTAGTAAGTCAGCAGGGATGAGCATCAGCTTAGAGACCTTTATCCTCTGCAGAACGTAGGCTAGGGCTCGCCAAGAAACCAGGCAATTCTTCTGCTAGGTCAGGGCCTGTGGAATAGAGAAAATAAAGTGAGGAAGGCAAAACCAACAGTGTCTGTTAGCTTTCTTCATCCTGACTCCTTCACAAAGTACAGTGAAAGTTCAAATACAAGTAGAAGCGAGATGAGGGTACTAACTCCATTGCTGCTCCCTTCCCTATTAGCAAGAAAGGGACAGGAGTCATTGACTCTTCCTTGAACTGAGTCTGTGCATAGACATGGGGGTAAAACTGAGCTCCTTGGTTGTATTTGTGAAGATAACTGTATAAGGAAATGTAAACTCTTTAAGCAATTTCTTTCCAAGTTTCACTTTCATATCATAAGTGTGGTGCAAGCTACCTAAATATTTTACTCGACTTGGTAGAGACTGGCCATTGCCTTATTACTTCACCTCTAACTAAAGCAGTAAAAAGGTACAATTAAAATAACATCTATGCTATATAACATAAAGGGCATGGCTGGTGGCTGCTCACTGCTTCAGATCATTTGGTGTTTTTTTTTGTTTTTTCTTAAGTTAAGCTCCAATGCTGTTAGCTTTCTCTGCGCTCCTCGATTGAGAGAGTTCTGCTTTGGTGAGACAAATCTTGAAAACCTGTGTGGAAAAGGTGCCACAAAACAAAATTGTTTTTAAAAATATACTTTTTGGTGTCTTAGTTTCAACAAAATCTGAGCTGAGGAGGAGTGACAATGGTAATACTGAGGTACATTTAAAATGTTCCACTGCGCAGCTTCCAAAGTACTTCAGCCCTTCAGTAAAAGTTATTGGTGCTCAAGCATGCTTATACTCTGCTGTGAAATTTTACCTGTGCATTAATGCTGGACTTGTTCATATACCTTGTTGTCATTGAAAGGGGATGTTTTGAACCCGGACACACTTTTACCTTCCTCATACCAGCTTCAATGCTCACCTAAGCACAGTCAATATACTGAGATTTCATAAAACTAACCTTCGGAAAAAGCAAACCACAAAACACAATCCAAACCAGATTTCTGTCAGCTGAACTGGCTTAGAGTGCCATCAGCCATGGTCTAGAGACACTAACAGTGAATGGATGGGACAACAGAGCTGAGCAGATGAACTTGAGGGCAAGATCTGCCTTTCAGGCAGCAGCAATTTACCCACCTCTGCGTATGTAATATTTAACCTTAGCTGCAGCTGATTTAAACGCTGTAAGACCTTAACTTCCCAACATTGGCATTCAGGAAACCTCATGCAGGCACTCAAGTTGCTTTATCCAAAAACATGTGGTCCTAGCCCAGGGTGTCTTAACTCCTGCCTTTCTGAGAGCTTAGGCTATAAAATGGCCCAGCAGCAACAGCACTCCAAACACAACCAACCCAAGCACAGCATCACCGAGAAGGTTGAAACCCACACCCCCTAATCCCTGGAGAAGAGCTCTTATCATTTGGCTTTGGACTAAAGGAGAAGGTTCACTCTTCCTCTTCAAACTAGGCAGAAGAAAAGAACTGAAGACCCACAGAACACAGCAAGAACACAAAACTGGGAAGGCTGTGCAGTTCAGCTGCCTCTCCCACTGAGTGCAGTGTTAGTTTCTAGCCCTAGCAGTCAAGGCCATTCACACATTTTTTTACATAGATTAGTAATGGGATAAAATACTGAAAGAACCACTTGGAGAAGATGCCAAAATCTAGGACTTCCTCCTGCAAGCTCTAACAACTAGGCTTCTGCCTTAATCCCACCTGGGAACCTGCCACCCTTTACTTGGCTTCTGAACTCGCCAGCAGACAGATAGCATGCTCCCAAACCCTCTCAGGCTGAACCCCACTCTCTGCTTTCTGAATTCATGCTCTAATCCACAGGCCAAATAACTTCTTAAGAGTCTGCTTCACGTTATGAGTGCGCACCAGTGTTGGCACACACAAGGTGAGCTCCAAGCTGGCCTTCTCAGTGAACCTTCTCTGCCAACTGCTGGACCTAGTTCAAGCCTGGAGACCAACCAGAGGCTGAAATGCACAAGGTGCAGGTTGACTGATTGATGTTTCACAATGGGCTCCTGCTGCCCTTTGCCAGTGTAGCTTCCCATTGGTCCCACCAACTTCTCCACCTCCAGTCTCTCCTTCCCTCTCCCACCCATGTGTGCCAAGGGTGTGCAGTCACTTGGATCAGGCAGCCAGTCACCTTGCAAAACTAGCACCACACTAAACAACACAGTAAATATGTATCTATATATCTGCACGTACAAAATAAATCCTTCTCTGCCCCACAGCCAGTACAAGGGATGCAGCAGCAGAAGGCAGCCAGAGTGTGAAAACAGCTCGTGTTTTCCTGCAGCAAACTGCTCATGAGCCCAACTGTCCTGTACACTGCACTCCAGATCATCTTGATTGATCAAGAGACCATAATTGCCATTGGTGCCAAAAGCTGCTTCACAAGTTACTTTTTCACCCAACTGCTCACTCCCACCTCTTGCCCAGGCCTTGTATGGTCACCGGGCAAGTCAGATCAGAGACACAAATGAGGGCTGGGGAAAAGGACTGCTCCACGTCTCACAGTGCAGAAACAAATATCCATGGTGCCTAAACCGGCAAAATGGCCAAAATACAATGACAGAATTGCTCATCCTGAAGGAAAACAGCATGACCATGGAGAACTTCTGATTTCCTCAGCTTTCAATACTGTAAAGAGTTGTTTACGGAGTTTAGAGGCCTCCAGAATCAGGTAACAATGATGGGTTTTAGTTACAGCTTTGGGTTTAAATAACCTTATTTTGCTCGTGTGTTCTATTTAGGGCTAATTCCTGGCTCTCACCTGGCCACACAGTGGGGTATATCAGACAGCATTACAAGACAAAAAACACCCAAGAAATGTCATTATTATCTGTGTTTCACACCTGCAAAAAACAGAGCATCACGCTTAAGGCCTGAATCAGAGCTGAGAATAATACCTAAGGCCTTTCATGGCCTCAACTGAGGATCTGCAAGGCAGGCATCTTGCCTCCCAGTGTGATCCTCCAAACGGCTGGATCGTGCATTTCCTAGGCAAAATGTTGCTGCGAATTTCACTGCTAAAAACAGATGGACCTTAGAAGTTCCACCAGCCTCCCCAAAAGTACTAAATTTTGACACATCAAACTCTACGTAGGAAGCTGAAAACGCTCAATGTCTTTCCCCATCAGTGCCTCAGCAGAAGCTACCAGGTGAGAATGAATGAAGGCCGGGAAGGATGCCCTTTCTTTGTTACTATTTCAGTTACACGCACATGATAGCGACATAGGCATTACCTCTGCTCGTTAATTTAAATGAAGAAAAAAAGAAAAAAAGAGGGCCAACGTTAGATTTTTGTAAGCCCCCAACTTGGCAAACAGCAGGGAAAGACAGTCAAAGTCCAACAAGAGAGGTTAGAAGTTTAATGTTTACTTTAAAGCAAATATTTCGCCACTTTTCCAAAGCCAAGCAGCGCAGAGAGAAGAAGAAAAGAGTAGAAATAAAAGCTATGCGTGTTTCAGAGCATTTTAAAGCACAGTACATTTCGAATCCCACACAGCAAGCTCCCCAAGAAGCACCTCTAAGCAGGAGACCCGAAGTTAATGGAAGTATGCGAGTGCAAGAGCCACGCGGGCCCAGCTCCCCGCAGGACGCGGGGCCGGGCAGGGGAAGGCCCGGTGCGGCGGGGACGGGCAGAGCAGGAAGGCCCGGTGCGGCGGGGACGGGCAGGGGAAGGCCCGGTGCGGCGGGGACGGGCA